CCTGAACAGCTGGTTTGCTAAATCCAAGGTTTTTGCAAGACAATGAGCTACCCAAATGGCACAAGCAGCCTCAGCAGTTGCTTGAAGTGGTAGTGTTTGTAGGAAGTAATGAACTGTATTCCTGGGACATTGACATGTTTGACAAGTGATGTCAGGATCAAGCTGTTGCAAAGCGTCATCTTGAATAGGGTCATCTTCCAGCATCATTCTTCAAGTGTGCAAGTGCTTCTTGGGTAACTTTGTGCATTGACTGACAAGCAGTGAAATATTTTTACTAGGCCTGGAGGTTTTCTTTCAGAAAATCAATGTGTAGATGAGAGAAACCTTCTCCAGTTTGTGACCTACCAAGACAAAAATGCCAAATCTGCATTCTGGCCACCCTGTTTTCCATCCCCAGCAAAGAGCAAGCCAAAAAGATGCCATGCCATACCACATGGTCTCATGGGTAAGAAAACATGTAGGCCTGGTGTTGGAATTCAGACATGCTGTCACGAAGCTGGCCTGTACCCTGGCAAAGACACTCCATGCCTTCTAGCTATTTGTTTTGCAGGAGGCTTTAGCGGTTATGTGGACAAGGAAGTAGTCTGTGGTGCAGCTACATGGATATTTTTTTTTACCTCTTGCTGGTATGTTGGTTTCCTTATTAGCTTGGGTTGGTTTCTTTGCAGGCAGCTAGTACTGTGATGGAAGTCTTCTGATTTATACTTACAAACTGGCTTACATACAGCAAGCTGTTTGTGGTTGTTCAAGCATTTTCCGCTGTCGGTGCCAAACCTAGCAGAAGAGTACTGGGGGGAGGGGAGGGGAGATCACCTGGTACAAGCAAATATGATTTTCATGTTTCAGGTTTCACTTTCATCTCACTACTAAGATGTTAGGCACTTGTGAACACTTATGTGTTTTAATTCCAAGCCTTCCATTAAGAGGATTCATACTGTCACCCCCCCATCAGTAGACTTGAAAGTACTGTACAGTTTCAAGCCTTTGGCCTTGGATAAGAAAAGTCTGTTGATACCAACACTGAAATATCAAGTGACTTTCTTCATACGGGGATGTGGTGGCGCTGCGGGCTAAACCGCAGAAGCCTGTGCTGCAGGGTCGGAAGACCAAGCAGTTGTAAGATCGAATCCACGCGACGGAGTGAGCTCCCGTTGCTTGTCCCGGCTCCCGCCAACCTAGCGGGTTGAAAGCATGCAAATGCGAGTAGATAAATAGGGACCACCTCGGTGGGAAGGTAACAGCGTTCCATGTCTAAGTCGCACTGGCCATGGGACCACGGAAGATTGTCTTCGGACAAAATGCTGGCTCTATGGCTTGGAAACAGGGATGAGCACGGCCCCCTAGAGTCGAACACGACTGGACAAAAATTGTCAAGGGGAATCTTTACCTTCTCCATATTGGGGTCTATTCTGGAGCTTGGAAAAGTCAACTGTTTTTGGACTAAAATTCACAGAGTGCCCTAGCCAGGTTGTCTGTAGAGGATTTTTTTCCCCAGTCCACCCAGCCCAGGACAGTTTGGTCTGCAGTTTAGGTATGGTTGGAAGTTCAGTTCCCCATCATTCCTCCTTGATAGGGGCTGGACTAGATTATACTTCCAGCTCTGTAGATGATGATGATGATTCCCACCTTGGCATTTATTTCCTATCTGCTCTCATGAAAAGGTATCTCTTTCTTATGCAAGTTGAGTGACATCCCCATACATACACTTGGTTAATTGTATGTATTAAAAAGCACCAAAGATGGGCAGCTGCCTGTTGTGTAGACAGAAGAGAGCAAGTAATAACCGAGTCAGTTTCCTTCATGAATAAACATGTCATTGTGCAAAGAAGCCTCTTGTTCTTTTGTTCCCAGAGACAGCCTTGTCTTTTTTTCTCTGCCTGTCACATGCTGGGAAATGTGATTGCATTTATTTTCCATTGGGCCATTCCTAATCCTTGAGTGCTATTGCAACATCTCATTTTTATGCAGCCTTGATGGCTTTAAAAAAAGCATGAGTTAGTGGAAAAATCCCGACCTCTGTTGCAGCTGTTGAAGATAAGATTGTCCAGTCTATTTTTTTTTTTAAAAAAATGCTAGGCACAACACATTTGGGGGATGTTTATTTAAGGAAATCATTTATTCCTTAGTTTAAAAGGGGATGGGTGGATACAGGCAGTTTATTTTCAAAGCAGCTATTCTGGTTTGACCTAATGTACCTAACCTGGAAGTGCAGGCGTATTGCTCTGGTGTGTCTTCTGCTGCTGGTCACTTGGGAGTATCGTCAGTTTAGAATACTTCTGTTATGCTGTTGTTTCTCTCAATTAATGCCAATGCTTTTGGTGGCCTTTATTGGCCAATACAGAAAGTTCAGCTTGATCTGTAGTATGTAGCTCATGGTGTCTGGCTGTGTACCACTTTTAGCCATATGGAAAACTGCATAGTGGAAACAATTCTGCTCTGCTCCCATGGCAGGATAGAACATGCTGCTTTAGATCTGCCTCTCTCAACACTATCCAGATGTTTTCAAGTACAACTCCCATCACCCCTGTTGCCCCATTTGCCTGCCCCCATTTGCCTGCCCCTTAGTCATATGCCACCCAATAGGAAGGCAAATGGGAATTCAGTAATTGGAGGCAGTTTGTATTTATGAGTTAAGCAATTACACTTATGCTGTTGCCACTCCACAATAGGATTCTAGCCACTTTGTGACTGTTGTCCAGATGCTCCTTATACAAACATCTGGCTGGCAAGAGAGCTGGCCATTTATGTCATGTTCAGAAGTATGAAGAACCAAGCTTTTTCCCTCCACAATTATTCATAAATGTGAGGAAGTGGGGAAAAGCCAATACAGTGGTGCCTCGCTTTACAAGTGCTCCGTTTGACGACGAAATTGCGTGACGTTGAAGATTTTGTGATTGCAAAAGCGATCGCAAAACAATGTTCCCTATCAGGGAATTTCACTTTGCGATGATCGGTTCCCTGCAATGATTTTCGCACAGCTGATCGGTGGTTTCAAAATGGCCACCGGGTAAAAAACATGGCCGCCCGCTGTTTTCTGGGACGGATTCCTCGCTGCACAGGCAGCGAAAATGGCCGCGCTGTGGAGGATCTTCGCTGGACGGTGAGTTTGAAGCCCATAGGAATGCATTAATTGGGTTTTAATGTGTTTCTATGGGTTTTTTAATATCGCATTACGACGTTTTCGTTCGACAGCGATTTTGCTGGAACGAATTAACGTCATCATGCGAGGCACCATTGTACCTAAATTCTTACTTAGGCACTGATTCAGGCAGCCCAGTTAAACATGGCAAAAGATATGTATGCATGTATAAACGTGTGTGTATGCCTTGTACAGGTGTAAGTTGGACTTGCACAACCACATCTCTGAAGTTGAATCACAATGCCACACAGTATAGGTGTGTGTATACACAAACATTTCATCCACACTTTTAAAGCTTTATTGCAGGAAACTTGGACACTAAAGTAGGGGGAAGTGTGTACTGATCTGTTTCTGGGCAGAACTCATAGTGCAGGTTATGCCCAATAAGGCCTTCTATGGCTTGGGACCAGACTTTCTGGATTTTTTTCCTGCATTGGCACAGGACTAGGCTTGATGGTCCTTGGGGTCCCTCCCGTTCTACAATTCCTATACCTGTATTTCCATATGAAAAACCATATTGCCCTGCTCTGAAGACTTTGGGGAGGGTTTTTCTCTTGGTGCTGCCATCCTCACAGGCAGAGCTGGTATGCACCTGGAAAAGGGCCTTCTCAGTGGCTGCTCTCAGATTGTGGAGTTTCTTCCAAAAGAGGCTTGGCTGGTCACCTCCCCATTTTTCTTTGGACACCACCCTTTCTACTGAGGTGGGCTTTGGACAGCTGAGGAGCTTCTGAAAAGTTTCATTGGATTTTACAAGGATGGCTTCTGCTTATCCCATTTTAATGCAATCTTCTTTTTAAATCTTGAGTGAGTTCCAGTTCTGGGGAAGAGTGCAATGCAAGTCAAGTAAATGACTATATTTTGCCTTTACAGCCTATGACAGGGGATGATGGGACTTGCAGTTCAGCATTCTCTGAAGTGCCCCATGTTCCTCTTAGCCAGCACAAAGTCTTTCCCTGTCCATTATCCTCTGTCTAATTTGTTCACAACCCCCACCATCCCACCCTGTAACACTTCCAGAGAGCACAATGAAGTTAGTTTTTTCTGCAGTATATATTGAGACCAAGGTACAGATATCATATAGATACAAATAAATTTTGAAAAAGGATTAAGCTCCTGGCATATTCTTAAATGAAACAAATTGTTTTAAAACATCTGGCAGAGCTAATTTGAGCAAAGGGAAGTGGAAACTTTTTTTGCACTGCAACTGAAAATGCTGGGATTTATATTTAGTCTGAATATGGCAAGGATGCAAAAGAACATTATGAAGAAAACTGGGATGGGTGACATAAAGTCCCTAGAAGGAGAACCATTTTTGGGGTATATGTAGATTGTTGGGAATAATTGGGGACAGATGGTGGACAACAGTTCTGTCCCTTAAACACGTTGAAAGGAGGGGAGAGGTATTACAGATGGAAAATACATTTTTTACTACACAATCTTGATGAGAATGACCTCTTGAGACTCTTGTTTGCAACAGGAAACACACCTCAGCACAAAAATGCATTATGCAATAGTTTTCTTGCTGTAAGATTTCAGGGTGGGGAAGGGTGCAAAGAAGAAGACTGCAGGCATGTGAGACACCTGAATGCAGTTTGTAGCTAGTTGTGTGTTCTGTGATTCAGCCACAACTTTGGAACCAGCTCATCCAGATTGAAAAAGGTGGCAGGAAAGTTGTTTGGACACCACCACCCTTTCTACTTGTTGTTTGCCAGTTTCTTTCTGTTTACATCTACACTCCCTTGGGGGTGATTTGTGGACAAGCCAGGGTCTACCTTGCAGTCAAGATAGAATAAGATGAGAATATCAAGTGTACTAAACAATCACGTGGAAATCTTAACTATTGTGCATTTCTCATTTGCAGATTTTTCCAGACCCTTCTGATTTTGATCGTTACTGTAAGCTGAAGGATCGTCTCCCTTCCATTGTGGTGGAACCAACAGATGTTGATGTGGAGAGTGGAGAGTTAAGATAGCCACCTGAGGAGTTCCTGGTCCTGGAAGAAGAGGAAGAAATCTGTGAGGAAGCAAAGAAAGAGAGCAAGGAGCAATAAATGGCTTGGAGAGAGTTATCTGTACTACTTAAGATGCTGTGTCATCTCGAAGGGAGAGAACAACTGTTCTGAAGAGTCTTTTTCTACAAAGACATTCGATTTTGCACCTGCAAGAACTTAGTTTTTGATTTTTTCCATATTCTCTATTGAGAACTGAAGTGCTCGATGTGACAATCTCCAGCTGAAACCAAGGAAGGAACCTAGGCAGGGGGGAAAGCAAAACATGGCTGCTCTTCTAAAGATTGCTGTTGAGTTTTGTTGAGGTTTTCTGGGGCAGCCGTGAAATTACTGGGCACTTTGGTTGAGGATTAGATGGGCAGGAAATGCACTTTTCTCAAGTGTATGAAGTGGAGGAAATGACTGCAGAGTGCAGAATGCAGCTGCATTTATATGAGGAAATGCCTCTGGCTATAAAAGCATGAGAATAGTATTCATCTCTCAAAACTTTGCCTTTTTATAGTGCTTCTGTTTCCGTGCGCGCGCGCGCGTATGTGTGTGTGTGTGTCTGTCTGCGCACGCCTGTGTGTCAGGGGGTTTGGAGTATGGGAACTTGCCATTTAAATGCTCCAGTGACATTATCAACTGAGGCAGGAGTTCCTGCTGTGCTGCATAGAGGAGCAATGGATCAATAACCTCTTTTCCAGTCCAGCATTTTGTCCAGCCTGTTTCCTACAAACTGTCTGTTCTTTTCTGCCATCCCTTCTTATGCATTTCAGTCTTGCAGTGCTGAATAGCTTTGTCTAAGCCCAGTGTTGCTAACTTCACAAGAGTGTCCTGGGCCACCTGTTATACAATAGCCTTGTTTATCCAAGGTAACAGAGCTAGTTAGGGCTGATTCTCTCTCTCTTTTGGCAAATGTTTATTTGGGGGGAAGGGAGTGTACCATTTTGGTTTTTTCCCCCCCACAAGAATAACTCTTTGTATTTCCTTTCTTGCCACCAAAGTTGCTGTTAAGTCTCCCGGCTCACAATATGTGTGATTGCTGTGAGATTCAAGCTTCTCTGGTGGTGCAAGCTGGTCATGGGAAAAAGTTGGCTCAAGAGTTCACTTTATTGTAGCACAGGGGACAGTTGGGTCAAAAAGATTATGAAGAGCCTAACTAGAATTTTGGAGATGATTTGGACATGGGATAACATAATTCTTGAAGGAAAGCAGGCCTTCTCCTCAAAAAAATAAGAACAAAGTATTATGATCTCTCAGTATTGTGGAGAAGATAATGTGCTTTTTAAATATACATGTGGGAAATACTAGTGGCCATAAATGATGCTCTGATCTAAATTCTCAATAATGATCTTCCCTTCTTTTGTCCTGTGGATTTTCCTTTTGGGAGGAAGAATCAGTTCTTTGGAATAAGCTAAACCTACAGCTTTTAAGGAAAGCACCATCTGACCACTTGGTAGAAGTCCTTGCTGAGACTTCATAGTACAAGGGGACCACTCTGAGAAATCAAATGCTAGTGGTTTTCATTTTAATCCTGGAGACACTAAAAATATGTAAGACTCTCATCATGGCCTTAAACGGATATTCTAAACAGTCTCCTAGGGTTTCCTTGTTTATTGGCTCAAATATTTTACTTTTTCAAAATAAAACTATTAGGACTTTGTGTGTATATATTTGTATTTGATACCTCATGAGTAGTAGCGATGCTGGTAAGGGGTTGTGGGAAATTTGCTTGTTCAAATCAGCGAAATGTATTCCTTCTCCCCTCCCCCAGTCTTGTCTTGCTTGTGTTTTCAATATAAATGGCAATAACTTTTTAACAGCTGTGAGTCATTATTACATGTGGGTGTGAGGTTGCACTACTGCCCAAGTTTGTTCTTTTTAAGTATAATAATGTGAGGATATAGTTGGGTGTTCTTGTGTGTCCTTTTGGTGGCCAAGAACTTGTCGCACACGTACTACCTGTCTTGGTGGATGTTTTGGCATCATGAAAACTTGTCTTGCATCCTTTACCTAGCCCAGGTTGCTTTGAAACTGATGGATCCAGATGTTTTTGGTCTTGTATCCTGAACACATGTTCTTGTCTTGCTATTTGGTAGAATAAGTTTTTACATGTGCAAGTAACCCTGAAATTTGGTTTTTTCCCCCCAATAAAAGTTATTTTCTGTTTTCTGATTATTATTTTTGTCCCAGGTTTGAAATTGTTGAATGTTAGCCACTCAGAAAAGCATAAATCCTTAAAGCTTAAGAGAAGAGTGGAAAATGCTGTTTGTCTTTAAATATTTGCATATCTTTTTCGGCCTTTTTAAAACATTGTTGCTTGTATTTCTGTCACTTTTGAATGTGGAAGAACAAAGCACTCCAGCTGAACTGCTCCTATTGTATATTACATTCTATATTTCTGTAAAATTCTTTTTTGAGCCTCAGGGAAAAAGCTAGCATTTTTTTCAAACTCCTTTTTGTCACTGTGACAGTTGTAAATAAAGTTTGAAAATGCTTTCCAAACCTCTTGCCTTCAGAATTATATTTTCCAGCTTAAAAATCTTGCTTTCCCAGAGCCTTGATGGTTATCCTCCTTGAAGAGTGACGTTGGCAAAGTTTGTGGAGTTACAAAAGTAATTCATTTCTGTTGCTCATTATGGTGGTGATATTTTTAGCATTAATTAATTATTTTTAATTATTAACCATGCTTTAAAAAGTAATTTGCTGTATTTCGTGGCCTGTTCATTACCTTTTTGTAGGGAGAGTCCTCTTAGCATTAGTAAGAAAATGGTATAAAACTACAAAAAAATTCACTCAAAATGCCTGCTTCTAAAATTCTACCTTAGAAATTAGCTCAGGGTAATATTATTGACATTTCCTGTGTTTTGTCTGAAATGCAATGTCCTTGTTACAAGAAAAATTAGAAGGGAATACCTATCAATTCTAAAGTAAATCAAATCTGAGTGCTCACTGGAAGGACGGATCCTGAAGCTGAGGCTCCAGTACTTTGGCCATCTCATGAGAAGACTCCTTGGAAAAGACTGCATTTTGATCAGGGACCACATAACTTTTTAGCGAAGAAGCATAACCTGGGTGTATTGCAGGCACATTACTCAGTATCTGAAAAAAGTGGGTTCACACGCATGGTTAAGGTTAAGGTTAAGGTTCCCCTTGACAATTTTTGTCCAGTCGTGTTCGACTCTAGGGGGCGGTGCTCATCCCCGTTTCCAAGCCATAGAGCCAGCGTTTTGTCCGAAGCCAATCTTCCGTGGTCACATGGCCAGTGCGACTTAAACACAGAACGCTGTTACCTTCCCACCGAAGTGGTCCCTATTTATCTACTTGCATTTGCATGCTTTCGAACCGCTAGGTTGGCGGGAGCTGGGACAAGTGACGGGCGCTCACTCCGTCACGTGGATTCGATCTTACGACTGCTTGGTCTTCTGACCCTGTAGCACAGGCTTCTGTGGTTTAACCCACAGCACCACCACGTCCCTTTTTACATGCATGCTTACAACCTGCTTAGTTTCTGCTAACTCCCCTAGAGCTGAGTGGAGACTTTAATCCTCACTAAATGTGTGTTGTAGATTAAGACTCGCAAATGGGAAGAGTAGTAGTAGAAGTCTCTAATTTGAGTATTTGTATACATTAGTCTCAGATAAGATGCATGGGCACAGGAAGCTGTTTTACACCACTGGTCTATCTAGCTGACTGATCTAGTTATGCATCATCTAGTCTGGAGCGTGTTCTACGAATCTTGTTAGATTTTAAAAAGATCAAGAGAAGAGTTTAATTTTTTCCCTAAAGATATTCTTTCTCTGTCTAATTTCCTTTCATTCTGGTGCAATGAATTAATTAAAGCTAGAAAGTTTTGAGATAGGAAGCTGCATTATGTGGAATCAAAACATGGGTTTGAACACTAACTCAGTGGTTCTTAACCTTTGTTATTCAGGTGTTTCTGGACTGCAACTCCCAGAAGCCTTCACCAGCAGCTGGGCTGGCTGGGGTTTCTGGGAGCTGCAGTTCAAAAACACTTGAGTAACGCAAGGTTAAGAACCACTGCACTAACTGACAGAAGCTGCCTCACATAGCTTTAGTCAAATACTATCTGGAGAGATACACTTTGCCCTCAAAGAGAAGCTCACTGAAGACTCTTTGTCTCTCCTCTGTAGGAAATGAGCTAGAAAACTTAACCACTTTAAATGCAGAAAATAGAAGCAGAAAATTAATACAATAGGCTGTCTCTGATAGCTTTTTTTTCCTTCAGCCACTGAGCCCAGGTGGTGGTGAAACACTAAAAAAAGAGAGCAGGGTAGGGAAAGCCACAAAGGGAGCCTCTGCAGCATGTTCACTCTCTTGTAGCAGCCCTGTAATTGCAAGGCTACCATGAAAGCACCCAGAATCACCAGCTTCATCTGATAAACAGAACTCAGGAAGTCCTTTGCACTGAAGAAGAGCATGAAAACATTGCAGATTCTTTGGTGTTTATTTTCTGCACTTCCTCCTTCATTCTGGGCTTTGAAGAGCTTTAGCCGCCTGGCACTGTCTGCTGAGACAAGACGCCTTACTGTGCAGGTCGTCTTGTGTTTTCTCCTTCGATGCTCCATGTCAGAGGGCTTTCACTCCACAGGAATGGGATCCACAGCCGATGTCTTTCTACACATGCTATTGTCTAGATTGCTTGAAACCAGGGCTAGGTCAAATGTTTGGCCCAGTCAAAGTTCACTATGTGGAGGCAGGTGGGGGGGGGGAATTGCAAAGAGCTTGAAGATCAGGGGAGGGATTGGACATTTGTGCAAGAAAGATAGTTTATAGTACAGTATTTAAAATTGCATAGCTGCTATAAGTATTGAACATGGAGCCAACCCTGGGAACAATGCTCCATGTTGATGCAGTGTCATTGCAACGGGTATTGCGGGGAAAGAAAGAAAAAAACAATTTTTAAAGTAGCGCTGGGAAATGGGTGACTTTCCAGGTGTTGCTGGAGCCCAGGGTCCATCAGCTCTAGCCACATGTCCACCCTTGTTTTAAACTTTATTAAGAAACTATTTGGACTATCTCCTAAGGCGGTGGTTCTCAAATTTGGGTCCCCACATGTTCTTGAACTACAAGTCCCAGGAATCCTGGCTAGCACAGCTAGTGGTGAAGACTTCTGGGGTGGGGGTGTTAGTCCAAGAATATATGGGAACCCAAGGTTGGGAGCCAGTGTCTTAAGGCAATATGTAAGTATTTGTACTTACCCCTGAGAGAACTTTTACTCCACACATATCTCCACATTTTTGTAGCTCCTGCCCTTCATTTGGAGGAAAGATCTGCTGAAGGGGATAGGGTATTGGGTGATCAGATGCAGAATTGCACACAGCCTTTTGTTCCTTGCATAGCTCTGTGGAAAAGGGAATTTTGATAGATGTGTGACATCTGCTGAATTTCCTCTTTCCACTATTAAAGGTAGAGGCATTTGCCCTGATTCTGCCAGCAAAGAACTGGTAGAAGTCTGGGTTGCTGTAATGAAAGTCTAGAATTGTTCCATGAACTCTTGCCAGTGATTGGGCCCAGTGAAGTCAATGGGCTTAAGTGGGATTTAAGTGGTTTAATTACCTTTCATTGACACGCTCCACAGGGGTGAATTTAATCCATAACAAATTGGCTGATATTTCAGTCTTCCTGAAGTGAGGCTTGTTGAATAAATTAGTCACAATAAATTATTCTCTTCAATTTTGTGTTTAGTAGAAACCACTGAAACCACTACTAGAGTCATGATTTTTCCTTTGTTTGTGGAAATGGGTGACCACTTGACATTTTATGGAGGCTTAATCCGTTAAAGATGCAAATGCTAATCCATCCTTTTGTGCAAGTGTCTAAAGCATGGTGGGACCTATTTGGCACATGGGCTACCTGGTCTCCTTCAAGGCCATTTTGATGAGCTCTGGAATATACCAATATGGTGTTTGATCTTAGAGCACTGTGTTCGTTGTGTTTCCCCCTGCTGTGCTTCACCCCATTTCCAAGTGGAGAGAGAAAAAACATATTCTCTCTCCCCCTCACTTATGCGTGCATGCTCACACACAAAATTTTGCATCTGTTACCTAAGGACCCACTCCTTGTGACATCACAAGAGCTTACTCCGTTGCCAGTTTATAACTTGCTCTTTTCCGGGAGCTCTTCAACAGCAGTTTAGCATATATTATCATTTGGGCAGGTACATGGCTTTGGATTAAATGATGACAGGGTTGATGTAAGACAGGTGTTTGTATGTGTGTATCTACACGTACATGTAAAGAGATAGGAGTGCCTGACCACCTTATCTATCTCCTGAGAAACCTATATGTGGGACAGGAAGCAACAGTTAGAACTGGATATGGAACAACTGTTCGGTTCAAAGTTGGGAAAGGAGTACGACAATGCCGTATATCATTTCCCTGCTTATTTAACTTATATGCAGAATACATCATGCGAAAGGCAGGACTGGATGAATCCCAAACCACAATTAAGATTGCCAGAAGAAATATCAATAACCTCAGATATACAGATGATACCACTCTGATGGCAGAAAGTGAGGAGGAATTTAAGAACCTTGTAATGAGGGTGAAAGAGGAGAGTGCAGGTATATGAAAGTCTCTAAACATCTAAGGCTATGTATTTGCTGAGCAGGTGAGATAGAGCAGTGGTTCTTAACCTTTGTTATTCAGGTGTTTTTGGACTGCAGCTCCCAGAAGCCTTCACCATCAGCTCTGCTGGCTGGGGTTTCTGGGAGTTGCAGTTCAAAAACACCTGAGTAACAAAGGTTAAGAACCACTGAGATAGAGGATGTTGTTCACTATTTACTCTACTGTCAGCTCTATCAAAACCCCAGAGAAAAGTTCCTGGGTGACATTTTGGCTGCTTTACAGGAGGAAAGCATTCAGATAAAGGGGGTCAGGTTACTTTTGGACTGTGACCCTTATGTTACATACAGAACAGCACTGTTTGCAAAAGCGGTCAAAAATATTCAAGCTAATTTCCTGAAAGCCATTGTGATCAATTGTGCAGGGGACTCCCAGATATGAAATGTTTCTTATTATTTTATATGTCTGTAATTTTATCATGATTTCATTTGATCATATTTGTATTTTAAATTGTGATGGC